TGCCTGCCGCTTTTTTCCGGCTGGGGGATAAGCCAGAGAAAAGCACCAGTCTAGACGCGATTCTCCGGAAAATAAGCCCTACTTGAAAGTAGGAATAAGAAATCCTCCAGAAAAGGGCTGCTTTTCCGGAGAATCGCGTCTAGACTGGTGCTTTTCTCCGGCTTATCCCCCAGCCGGAAAAAAGCGGCAGCCATGTAAATGCAAATGCCGCGGGGGATATTTAAATCCCACGCGGATTTGCAATTCCGATTTGTCTCATTAGCATCCCTTTTCCGGAAAGGGATGCCAATGTAGACGTAGCTCCACTGTAACCCCCAAGTCCTTTTCTGCAGAACTATTACTTAAGTGGTTGGTCCCCAGCTTGTAACTATGCTTGGGATTCTTCCGTCCCAAGTGCAGGACTCTGCACTTGCCCTTATTGAACCTCATCAGATTTCTTGTGGCCCAATCCTCCAATTTGTCTTAGTCACTCTGGACCCTCTCTCTGCCCTCAAGCATATCTACCTCTCCCCCTAGCTTAGTGTCATCCGCAAACTTGCTGAGGGTGCAATCCATCTCCTCATCCAGGTCATTAATAAAGATATTGAACAAAACTGGTCCTAGAACCGAACCTTGGGGCACTCTGCTAGAAACCGACCGCCATCCTGACATCAAGCCATTGATCACTACCTGCTGGGCCCAGCCTTCTAGCCATATTTCTATCCATTTTACTGTCCATTTATCCAATCCACATTCCCTTAACTTGCTGGCAAGAATATTGTGGGAGACGGTATCAAAAGCCTTGCTAAAGTCAAGGTATATCACATCCACTGACTTTCCCACATCCACAGAGCCAGCTACCTCATCATAGAAGCTAATCAGATTGGTCACGCATGACTTTCCCTTTGTGAATCCATGCTGACTATTCCTAATCTCTTTCCTCTCTTCCAAGTGCCTCAAAATGGATTCCTTTAGGATCCCTTCCATGATTTTTCCAGGAACCGAGTTAAGACTGGCAGGCCTATGGTTCCCTGGATTGTCCTTCTTCCCTTTTTTGAAGATGGGCACTACATTTGCCTTTTTCCAGTCATCCAGGATTTCTCCCAATCTCCATGACTTTTCAAAGATAATGGCCAAAGGCTCTTCAATGACATTTACCAACCCTCAGTACTCTCAGATACATTAAGTCCGGACCCATGGATTTGTGTGCATTTAGCTTTTCTAAATAGTTCCTAACCTGTTCTTTACAAACCAAGGGCTGTCGATCTTCATCCCATCTTGCGTCACTTAGCGAATTAGTCCGGGAGCACACCTTGTCCGTGAATACAGACGCAGAGAAAGCACTGAGTACTTCAGCTTTCACCACATCATCTGTCACTAGGTTACCCCCTTCATCCAGTAGGGGTCACACACCCTCTCTGATCACCTTCTTCTTGTTAATGTGCCTGTAGAAATCTTTGTTATCCTTCACATCCTTAGCCAGTCGCAATTCCATTTGCGCTTTCACCTTCCTGTTAACCCCCCGGCATTCTTGAACTATACATTTAAACCCCTACCTGGTCATTTGTCCAAGTTTCCACTTTTTGTAAGCTTCCTTTTGGTGCTTAAGTTCACCAAGGATTTCCCCTGTAAGCCAATCCGATCTCCTACCATGTTTGCCTCTCTTGCTACGCGTCGGGATGGTTTCTTTCTGTGCCTTCAGTAAGGCTTCTTTCAAATACTGCCAGCTGTCCTGGACTTCTTTCCCCTTCAAGTTAGCATCCCAGGGGATTCTGCCCATCAGGTCTCTGAGGGAGTCAAAATCTGCTTTTCTGAAGTCCAAGGTGTGTATTTTAGTACTCTCTTTTCTTCCTTTGGTCAGGATCCTGAAATCTACCATCTCATGATCACTGCTTCCCAGGTTGTCACCCACCTCTACTTCCCCTATTAGTTCCTCCCTGTTTGTGAGCAGAAGGTCAAGCTGCGCACAGCCCCTGGTCAGATCCTTCAGCACTTGTGTCAAGAAGTTATCCCCAACATTCTCCAAAAACGTCCTGGATTGCCTGTGTACTGCCGTATTGGTTTCCCAACAGATGTCAGGAATTAAAGTCCTCCATGAGAACCAGGGCATGCGATCTGGAAGCTTCTCTCAGTTGTCCAAAGAAAACCTCATCTACCTCATCCACCTGATTCGGTGGCCTGAAGCAGACACCAACCTCCACATCACTGCTGTTGTTTGTTCCTTTCAACTTAACCCATAGACTCTCAACAGGTTTTTCTCCCTCTTTATACTGGAGTTCAGAGCAGTCGTAGTGCTCTCTTACATATAGTGCCACTCCTCCTCCTTTTCTCCCCTGCCTGTTCTTCCTGAACGGTCTATACCCTTCCATGACAGCGCTCCAGTCATACGAGTCATCCCACCAAGTCTCTGTTATGATTTAATTGGGATATTTCTTGGACTTGGCCAGGGCCTCCAGTTCTCCCTGTTTGTTTCCCAGGCTTCTCTCATTAGTGTACGAACACCTCAGATAACCAGTTGATCGCCCTATCTTCTCCATTTGAATCAGGGGTCCTCCTTTCTTGCATTTCTTCCCGGTATCTGACTATCCCACTCCCCTCAGGGTTTTGGTCACTGTCCCCCGACAAACCTTGTTTAAAGCCCTCCTCACTAGGTTTGCAAGCCTGCCCATGAAGATGCTCCTTCCTCTCTTCGTTAGGTGGATTCCATCTCTTTCTAACAATCCTTGTGCCCGGAACAGAGTCCCGTGGTCGAAGAAACCAAAGCCCTCTCTGCGACACCACCTGCGCAACCACGAATTTACGTTCTCAATTCGATGATCCCTGGCCAGTCCTTTCCCTTCAACAAGGAGGATGGATGAGAACACCACTTGCTCTCCGAGTTCTTGGATCCTTCTTCCCAGAACTACATAATCCACAGTAACCCGCTCAAGGTCATTCTCGGCCGTATCGTTAGTTCCCATGTGAAGAAGCAGGAAGGGGTAGCGATCTGAATGTTTGATCACTTTGGTAAGCCTCTCAGTCACATCCTGAATGCGAGCTCCCGGTAAGCAGCACACCTCTCGAGATTCCAGGTCCGGATGGCAGATGGATGGCTCAGTCTCTCTTAGGAGGGAGTCCCCGACCACCACCACCCGTCGTTTTCTTTTGGGGGTGGTGGCCGTGGAACCCCCATCCCTAAGACTACACATCTTATGCCTTACAGTAGGTGGTGTTCCCTTCCGATTTCTTCCTTGTGAGGTCCTTTCCAAAGCATTCAGCACTGCAGAGCCTGTGGAGAGAGCCTGAAAGCGATTACTTACTCTATAGCATTGGGGGATTCCCATGCTGGCTTTTTTCCCCCTTCTAGGAGTTACATGCTGCCAGTTGCTTGAAGGATTAAATGTTGCCTTCTATCAAGGAAGTCTTCATCCTCTCTGATCGAGCATAGGGTCGATACTTGGGCCTCCAGTCCTCTAATTTTTTCTTCCAAAATGGCGATCAGCTTGCACTTAGTGCAGATGAAATCTGTTCTTTCTTCTGGGAGGAAGACAAACATGGCACACACCATGCAGGTAATCACCATCCATCGCTGTTGTCCTGTTCGCAAGCTCCCGAGGCCTTAACTTAGTCCTGAGTGTAAAAAGGTTGGAGACCACTGCTGTAAAGATATTGACCAATTGAAGGGAGCTGAGGAAAAACAAAATGCAGCAAAAATGGTAGGGATGTCTTATTTTAAATGATTGAAAGATGGAAGTAGTCTAAAAGATGGAAGTAGTCAGCCTGTCTAAAAGGATGGGAGTCCAACCTTTCTCAACTATTTCAAAGGGGTACTTGCAAAGGAAAACAAGAAGTTAAGTAGGTATAATCAGGGTGCTCATGGGTGTCTGGTCAGGGGGAGGAGGAAGAAGCAGAAACCGGGTGCTGGTGGGTCTCTACCCAGGGGAGAAGGAGCAGGAGCAGGAGCAGGAGCAGCTCAGCCAGTACCTGGGGGTCTCCAGGGACATGTATCTCTCAGGCAGGCTCTTCAGGCAGCACTGAAAGAAGTGCACATGTGGCTCCTTTAAGAAATACAGCCACTCCTCGTATGATACCCCTAAGCCATTTTAATCCCCCCTTCTTCCCAGAGCACGGGGGAAGGAAGGAAGGAAAAATAAGAAAACACATGCACTGCTGTGGGAAGGGGAGGAGCAGTGCATGCACACTTCCTGAGAAACCATCTCTGGCACAGAGCCTTAGGATTCACCTCCCCACTCCCAAAGGATGCCAGCTCTGGCTCAAAATTTGTGAGGGGCAAGAGACTGTTGCACCATTACAGGTGGGGGAGAGTGACTCAGGGCTGGGAACACTGCCTCGCTATCAACTGGCTAGTGACCGCTGCTTTATGTCAATGAATTTCTGAAAACTCAATTCAACATTCCAGGTGCATTTATATTAGAACTTCATAGAAGGGGAATACTACCTTCCTGATGTCTCTCTAGTATCTAGTCAAACAATAGTCCACCACAAATTCTGTCAATGACAAAATGCTACGTACACACAAACTAGACACCTGAAATTGAATTATTCTGCTGTGAACTGGTTTATCTTAATGCAAATACTGCATACCTGTAATAGTTGTGTGTGGCCTATCACTCCACTGGTCTCGTTTGACAATGACACCATATGCTCGGGAAAATAGTTCTGTTAAAAGAGAACATATTATTAAAACATCTCTAAATGTGAATACAAAAACCTTCAGATTTCTCAGGCATATAAACAGATTTGCCTTCCAACTGCCCAGAGCAAAAAAGACAATGAGACATTTCCACACTCAAAAAATTTAGGAAAGGGTTGGGGGAATCATTAAAATAACCTCAAATTGTGCTGTTTTATAAATTTCACCTGCTGAGTTCATGACGGCAAACTTCAAAAAAATTTGTTTAAAGATTTCAATGCAGGCATAAGAGTCTGCTGAGTCACGTCATATTCCAGGAAAGACTATAAATCTGGGGTATGTTTACACTACAAAAACTCATGACAATGGGCCTCAGAACCCGGGTCAATTGACTCAGGCTCACACTGTTGGACTAAAGCAGCAGTATAGATGGTTTCATCCATGCGGGTTTCAAAGCGTGCCCTCCAGGTCAAGCCCCATATGCCCAAGTGTGTTGACTCAGCTCACTCTTGCTGCCAGGTTATGGTTTGTTACTTTTATTTTTGGTGTGTTCTTGGTTTGTTTGATAGTGTAGACATACCCTTAGATCCTCAGGTCATCATTCAGCCTCCTCTTCACAACATACAGATTGGCTGCAGGCTTCAAAATACTACTGTTTAAGAAGAGTGGAAATCCTTATATAATGTATTATCATGTAATGTTTTGTGGAAGTTGATAATACCCAATGGAAGAAGAAAAAAATGGGATACGCTGCCAAAAGCATTTATTTAAAATCATATTGAAACAAAATATGGATTACTGTATACTAGCTTTTATGAATGCAAAAAAAAAGGCCCTCTACGATTTGCTGTGAATGCACACTTTATTCTCTATGAATATGGATCATGTGATGAAGCTGCAAAAATACAAGAGGTATTATAGGTCAGAGCTAGTCTAAGCACAGTGCCACTGACTGAACTGCAGTTATTCACCACAGACTTTCATTCCAAATGATGAATATGGTTTTTTAGGATTATTTAAGAGTTACGTGTTTTTGAGACAATGTTCCAACTCCATCTTCTCTTGGGACTGTACCATTCTTGTTGGGCATATAAAGACCCTGATGGGTTAACTAATGAGAATCTATATTGTCCACTAAAGCTGCATGACTGTTTGCACAACAGACCACACCCACTGGCCAACCAACCTACTGGGTCTAATTATATAAAGAAATTCCAATGGACTACCATAATATCTAAGCTTCTGATTGTTAATTAAATTTAGCAACATCGTTTGATATAGAGAGATATTCCCATTCAAAAATAGGGAAGGAAGATAGAGAGTGATTAAGTGATTTGCTCAAAATAATACATGCAGAGCATGGAACAGAACCCTAAACTCCTGTGTCTCTTCTACCTCTGGCTGTGGTACAGACATAGGTTAAGTTCTATGAGAAGTCATCCCTACATTAGCTTTGATCAAACCAGTGTGGCAAAACAGAGTGCAAGTAGGACACAAGGTGATGTGGGGAGGAGCTAGCAGCTATTTGCACGACCTTGTGCGAGACCATATAGATAACTGCTTGGGTGGTGAACCCTTCTCAGAGCTCACGTAATGGTGACTACACTGCTACTTTTAACACACTACAACAATTGGAGCTAGTGCAAGTATGTCCCCTCAAGATGAAATTTACACCTTCCAGCTCTGGCATAGACATATCTGTAGTGATTTAACATCATTCTTCCATTCCTTTAACAGGTTATAGGTAGACTTAGGTTCCATGTTATTATACTGATCACTACAAGTCCTCCTGCATTTATGGCATTCCCTCACATCACTATGCCACATGGCTTCAGATGTCAGGGCAGCAGGGACAGCTGTCTGAACCCACAGTGCTTTTTAAAAAGATATACTTACCACTGGATGTTTAAAAAACTCATATTTAGCATAGTTTTTTCTAAAATACAGTCTATTTTCTTCTTCCATTCCCCAGTTTGATTGGACATCAAGTACCAATTCATGGTCTTCTAGAATTCTTTCTGTAATGCAAAGAAAAATGCATAACCCAGCAACATAATGTTTAACCCATGAAAACTTGACTGAAGAGTTATGTCTGGATCTATGTTCAGCCCAACATGAACAAGCCATATTAACACCTTCAATTCATCAAGTCTGTTTTACTTTTTGTCACCAAAGTCAATGCTCTTGTATAACCCAAATGCTCATAAAACATGTCTGCTGCAGTTGAGCAAGCTAATGTCCATCTCTTTAAACACCGTGGCTACGTCTACACTGCAGGCTTCTTGCGCAAGAACGGCCATTGTTGCACAAAAACCTGCAGCGTGTCTACACTGCATGCATGTTCTTGCGCAAGTAAAATTACAGTAAAGCATAGGAACAGAGGGCTTTTGCACAAGGGTTATTCCTTTCCCCACAAGGAACAAACCCTCTTGCGAAAGAGCTCTTGTGCAAGAAGGCGGTGTGGATGGGCAACAGGGGTTTCTTGCACAAGAGAGCGTCCACACTGCCATGGACGCTCTTGTGCAAAAGCACATGGCAGTATGGACATGCTTTTGTGCAAGAACTCTTGTGCAAAACAATTCTTACTCAAGAAGCTTGCAGTGTAGACATAGCCCAACAGTGTTTTATATTATATATTTTTTAAAAATTCCTGTGGGAGGATAAAGTGATGTCATCATGTCACTCTGCATCCTGTGCGCCTCTCCCCCCATCCTCCCCCCATGCGGCCTCCTCCTTCATCCCTCCCTGATGCTCCAGGAAGCAGTGTGACCTCCCTTCTCCCCAGTAGGGATGTAAGGGAATAGTCAAGTTGAGTACCCAACTACTCTACTTGCATTCCCCACCTCCTGCCCCACTCAATGCAGTGAAGAAGGGAAGAGCCTGGGGCCAGCAAGGACCCAGGACAAGCCAGCTGCTCTGGGTGTGGCCCAGCCACAGCTCCACCCTCTGCTGGTCCCATGCACTGGGCTGGCACTGCTCTCCCAGGAGCCCCGCATGCTTGGCAGACAAGGAAGTGGCCATTTGCCTGGGCAGTCAAAGTGCAGCAGCGAGGTGAACTCAGTGCTCCCAGGCTGGGCTCGGGAACATGTTGACTGGCTGGGCTGGCAGCACTCCCGTGGCAAGCTGGGCAGATGCCACCGGCTCCATGTGGGTTGGGCAGATAGGGGCAGCACCTTAGGCTGGGCTGGGTGCTTGGGGAGTCCAGCCACTCCCTACGGGTACCTGGGATGAGGATCCAGCAGCAGTGCCGGTGTGGCTGGGCTCGCTGCTCGGCTGGGCACTGAGCAGCAGCAGCCTGCAGGGTGAGCTCTGGTCCCTGCCCGAAAGCCCATCACCAGGGCTTTGTGGCTTAGCCCAGGCACGCTGCAACCCAAAATGGCCGAGCAGGGCTCACACGGGGAGGGCACAGTGAGGGCACAGCTCAGGCTGCAGACCTTCATCCACCGTTCGCCCACCTGACCCTGCAATTCTCTGTATGGCCTCCCCTCTTCCCGGTGCTCCGGGGAGGCAGGAGCCAGATGGCCTCGCCCCTCCCTGTACATCCAGCCCCCTCACAAACTCCCTCAGCTGAGACCCCGCACCCTAAGTCCTCTCACTCATATCCCCTAAACTGAGACCTTGCACCCCCAGCCCCCTCACACACCTCCACTGAGACCCTGCACCCTCACACACACACCCTCTGCTGAGACCCTGCACCCACCAACCCATTCACTCATACCTCCTCCCCCAAGCCAAGGCCTCACACCCTCACCCCTTCCACCAAGACCGCTTGCCTCCATCCTGCTCTTGCACCCTCCCCCCGGCCAACCCACTCCTGTCCCCTAACCAGAAACCCTGCCCCCAGCCTGCACACACACACACACACACAGAGCTCCCCTGGGGGTGGAGGCGGGGGATTGGCAAGCATAGCAAGCAGTGGGTACAGCCTCGTAGTAAACTCAAATACAAAACGAGGTATTGCCTTTTCCAAAACCGATTTATTGCATACTGTAATGTTTTTACACCACTCAGGACAGAGAGATGGTGATTTTGGCAGCAAGATTTTTTTAGTTATATAACTTCCTTCTTTGATACGTTAGAGAGAGAGCCAAAATTAGAGGGAATGGTTAATTACAAAAACACCCAATGTTCATTCATAAAGCTTCCTCCTCCACCCCCAATATTGGAAAAGTTTTTACTGAGTTACTCAAGAGCTGGCAAAGCTATTAGAAGTGATGCAATTTGTATAGATGTGAGCTCATTAACTAGGCTCGAAGCCAGACATTTAGATCTGCAAAACTATGTGGGGAATTTGAACCTTTTTGAAAACCAAGTCTGGCTGCTAATTAACTTTACAGTAATTGAGGACTCAGAAAAATCTAAACAAAGCACTTACACAAATGGGTAAATAACCAATCAATCCACCTTTATCTGCTCCAGAGTTCTTTTGATTTTTTTTCAGAATGCTGTTGCATATCCTATCCTCTTTTGACAGTTGTCTTCATCTCATTTGACAGTTTCCTGCACTGCAAAAAATCACTAAACTAGGCTTGTATGAAAGGGACCAATCCTGCAAAAAGTTGTACATGTATTGAACTGCAAGTACTAGAAATGCTACCATTGATTTCAATTAAACTATTTAGAGCGTGTAAAGTTAAGCCCATGCATAACCATTTGCAGAACTGTGACTGATTTTATTTCTGTACCTTGAATATCACTTTTAAAAAAGAAAGTTTAACTAAGAATACATTTCAATACACAGAAAAAAATATGGTAGACAATGTTTATATTGCTGATGGCACAAACCAATGAGGAAACACATTTTAAATATAAAGTGCAAAATGTTTTTTCTGCAACTTTAGTGAATTGTACTTAAAGGGACACTATTTATTTGTTGGAATTGGATTTGAAAGTGACAAATGATTAAATACAAATAAATAAATGATTAAATAGTTTCAGTTACTGTTCTTGGCCCCAACACCAACTATACAGTTTTATATAACTTCTTTATTTAATGTCTCTTCCGCCCCCCAGGAATCAAGTCTAAATGAAAAAAGGAGTTTGGGAGAGTTCTCAGTTCCTTAGAGAGACAATGAGAAAGGTACAACAGCAAACTGTTGCTAGGAAAAATGCTAAAAGTAGAGTCTGGCACAGATGCAAAATTTATACACATGGATGCAGATATCCATGGTTATAAAACAAATATCCACCAAGCAGCTCTACCAGGAACCACAGTGACAGAAGTAGCAGCATGTCAGCCTGCTACTCAAGAACCAGTGCCCAGCCCAGGCAGCTTCTCTGATGTAATTGCACTGCCCCTAACTCTGCCCATTAGGTAGCTCCAGCCCTGGGAAAGCTCGTGCTGAGTGCCCAGCTGCTTCCAGGTGGGCTTCGGGGTGCAGCCCCAGACCAAGCCACCCACCCCACCCCAGCCAGCTCCGGGGAAGCCAGTGATAGCTGCCTGGCTGCTCCCGGGTAGACAGCTTGCTCCAGCTCCAGCACACAGCCAGGGAGAGCTGCGTAGTAGCTGCCTGTCTGCTTCCGCCCTGGCAGCAGCTCTAATCCTTGGGAAGCTGGTAGTGGCCGGGCAGGCACCAGGATCACTGGCAGCTGTTTTTGTTCATGCTAGTGCAAACAGGCAGCTCACACTAGTGTAAGCAGGCAGCTCACAAGCTCCTGGACAGAAGTAGCAATCTTAAGAAGGGAAAAAAGTACACGTCTATCCTTTTATTTAAACCTATTTTTTCATGCACCACTAAGATAAAGTTCAAGATTTTCAAAAGGATTAAATGACTGGGGGCCTAAATAGAAAGTGTGGAGCTCCGGTCCTCTGCAAATCAGACTATTTACAGAATCTCAAGCTGGGCACATAAACCATTTAAAAGTTACTTTTGAATACCTTGCCCAGAAAGAATTAAAAGGATAGGTGTACAACTGGAGACTCTTTCCATCAACAGTCATCATGTATTATGGCAAAATTTTCCCCTTGCCCAGCAAAACTACTATTCACAGCCCAAATATGGTGAAGTCTACAGACCTAGATTAATTACTGTGCCAAAAAATTTCCAATTCTCTACTGAGTTATTATACTCATATAGCTAAATTCTATCAGTAAGAAAAAAAATGGGTTCATAGGATACAAAGGCCACATACTGACTGGGCTCATGCAATAATTAGACCAATCATTCATCTTCAATGGTTAGCTTTTCAGTTAAAAATATAAATTAGAATTGGCTAACAGTTAAATCAAACTTTATTTTATAATCCCAATGCACTTTTCATATTGTTTAGTACTAGAAGAAAGTGGGAGAAATTACTTAACCATATTCCTAGTTGGTTGTGTTTTTTAAATAAATGTTAAAAATCCAAACTGGCTTCATCTTAAATGGTGACAAGGTAAATTCCACATTAATTAAAAAATACTTTAATATTTGACTCTAGTTTTGAAAATCCTACTATTAATTAGCAAATGTTTGAATCAAATTAAAAGCAAAGACAAATTTAACAAATTAAGACACAATAAAACTGGGAGTGAAGGGTGGATTGCAGAGTAAGTAAGTAACAAACAAGGTTAATAGGCTATAGGCATAACCCACCTTGTCCTGAATACAGGAGATGGAAATTTAACAAAGACTATATGAATTCTTGGGGTCACAACCCAATAAGGTAAGATAGAATCTCTCATATAACACTACATCATGCCTAATCCAATGGAAAATGTAGCAGCCCACCATACCCAACTAAATATCATTGGATTAAATAACCTCCACTATCACTGACTTTAAAAAAAAAAAAAAAAAAAAAAAAACCCTACACCTCCATTGGAAAGTTAATTTAACCCCTCTTCACAGGGATAAATAAATGAGGCAAAATTTCATATTCCTGGGAAAACACACTGAGAACTGAGATGTCCTCTGGAAACAGTTTTTTGATGATGTTGTTTTGTTTTGTTTTTAAAACAAACAGCAAATGTTGTTCTAGTTTGCCATTTAAACTGTTAAATTGCTGGCACTAAGACATTTAAATAAATACCATTTCCTGAATAAATAAATATTATTTCTTGGAACAAAAAGAAGACATACCACAACATCTCATGGATAGGTAAAGATAATGGTATAGCATATGAACTTTACTCAATGGATTTTTAAGGTAGTAGAATATACAACTTCTAATGTGTATTCTAATGCTTTCTGGCTTATATCTTATATCCTCTTTATCTTAATTAACTTTTCTTTTGGGGAGTCGATTTCATCCTTGCCTTTTCCTAAATTGTGCCTGTTTTGGGGGCTTCTCCTGAGAGAAATGCTTGAGGCCTAAATGCTGTCACTGAGAGGCCCCAAGAACCTCCACGTGAGAGGAAGGAGATTCAGAAAGAATGCCTGATTCCTTGTCCAAAAGCTTCAGAGGGGTAGCTAAGTTAGTCTGCAACTGGAAAAACTTAAAAAACAATGAATAGTCTAGCAGCACCTTAAAGACTAACAAAACACGTAGAAAGTATCATGCGCTTTCATGAGCACAACACACTTTTTCAGATGAATGGAGTTATTAAAGGTCCAGTTCCAAAATAAGTAGGAGATGTGGCAGGGAGAAGGAAAAAGAAGGGAAAAAAGGGGGGAAAAAATGGTCAATTGGAGTGTTCATGCTACATGAAGCTGATGTATTCTCAGTTGATAATGGAGTCTAAGTATGGACTCAAACTTTTCTTCTTTGACACAGATAAGGCTGACACACAATTAAATGAGTATTTGGACTTAACTTGCAAGAAATCCCTAATCAATAAAGATGGTCTAGCTGTTATGTCTCTACCTGCTGTCTACATTTGGAGCAGGGAGTGTGTGCATGATAATCTCATCAAATAAGTGCGCTAAATAGCAGCTCTGACATGACAGCATGGTCAGCAGCAAGCAGCTTCACAAGCTGTCCACCCAGAGCACAAACACACCTAGACACTCTGGATACATACTCAGGATGGCAGCTTGTGCTGCTGCTCACTGCTGCCCATGCTACAGCTTTGACACATATGGCCATTTCCTGCAATATTCTAGAAAACCCTAATGCATTAAGCATCATAGGAATTCTTTGCATTACAAATGCATGTTTATGTATTATTGTGGGATTGTATGTAACATCTCTAGGCAGGAAATATGACAAATAGGAAGTGTCGTGAGTTTCAAAGAGCTGTTTTAAAACAAACAGGCCAGATAATTTTGTTTCCTCCTGGAGTTGCTACTTAAGTGGATTTCCTAGGAGGAAATCCAAATTCCCTACCTCCAGACCAAACCTTTGGAAACTTCACCTTATAGAAAAAACCCACCATTTGTCTGATCACCTATTCCTGGTCTCTAAGGAATGAAGACCTAAACTGTATAAAAGGAGAAAAAACAGATTAATGGATGTGCTAGTTCTGAGCAAAGGTAGCAATGAACCTGTGGCTATTTTCCTGTGACTGGGAAACTCTTGGTGGGATCTGAAGGATTGTTCACCTGCTTGAGCCCTTGTTCGGGTAGGGATATCTTATTTTCATGGTGTGCACTTCTTTTTAATGTTTTCTCAAAGAATTCTTTAAAAATAAATGTGATTGTTTAAAAAGAACAATGTGGTCACTTACTCCCCTCTCCAACTGTAGACCTAGCCTAAGGGCCTGTCTACACACCTCCTCAGTTTGGATTATGAGGGTATGAATTGTAACACACACTATTGCACTCCGCTGCATGGACACTGCTGGTGCATACAAAGTACATAGTTCACTTTAACATAGTCCACTTTAAATGTACTAAGTACCAAACTAGTACCTTTTAGTTTGCACTCAGCCTCCACAAGGGAATTATAGTGAGGTGCTCTAGTGCACACTACAATTTGTACCCATAAGTCAAAATTGTGAAACTGTATAAACACAACCTGAGATTCAAGTGCTGCCTTTTATTCAGCAAAAATAAAAGGTACTTGTATATGAGGAACAACAGTGACATCCAGTGGATACTTAAAAAAAGAAATCTCACACACCTGTGATAAGCATAATTGCTAGAAAAGAAATGGTAGGTTATTATGCTTTCCTGAAATATATGTCTAAAAATTGTACTATGCAGACCAAATGTATCTTAATATTTGCTGTCCATCACAAAGGTAAAAAAACCTGTTTTTAAACTGTAAACTTACGTTAACTAAACAAGGTCATTAGGATTCAAATAATTTCTGGCAAATGCATCCCCTTTCAAAGCATATACACCCATATGAACATGCAAGTAGCTACTTAAATACACATATACAGATGAGAGCATATTCCAATGACTTTCTGATAATTAATGTCATTTTATATAAACAACAGCTGACTTGTGACTTTATTTGCAAATAAATACTATGTTCAGTTCACTATGATCTATGGGATCAAAAATCACGAGCATTTGGATATTAGCCAAAATGTTTGTGTTCACAACAAACTCAAGAATTTTAACAATTATTCTTCATTACAAAATTTTTTTACTGGAAATGAGCTTTTTGATATTTCTTGGTTTCAAGTGCTTCAGTCATTAAACCAGGCAGTTGAAAATATGCTCTGTTTCTTAATGGATTTACCACACAACAGAATAAAGCATAGCAACCAGTCAACTGAAACTGTTCGCAAACAAACCAATCTGAAAGTTATTCATCCAGTACCTATACATAGTGAATCCATTTGATTACAAGAGGGAAGATCAATTTGCGAATATATCACACACTTAAGAAGGTTCTGTATCTGTGTCATTGTAACAGTTAAACCAACTCTCATGGCAGAGAGTGGAGAGTTTAAATCCTCACCAAGCTAATTGACTATATTGCAGCAGGATGTTGATAAGTCTACTCCAATAGAACAAGATGCCATTTAGAAGCATAATTCCCACCATCAACATAAAAGTATGAAATATGATAGCTCTTCTGTCATTTGCATGAGAGATATTCATGGACAATGCTCTCAAATATTTCAGCTGGTTCTGTTGGAGTGGCATAGCTACCATTTGTACTGAAATACCGACATGGCTCTTTTGCTAGAAATAAAGAGCAAGTCAAGAAAAAAAAAAAAAGGGCGGGGGAATTGTCCAAAAAAGAACTAAAAGTCATTTATCATAAGTGTTAAGAACCTATAACCTAGAGCTCACTGCTTCAATGTCATACCA